AATGTCAATTCACATACTGGATTCTTTTTTCTATCAATAGGGTGGGTGTGGATGTGGGTGTGGGTGTGGGTATGGGTGCGGCTATGGGTGCAGTTAGGAATAAAGAGAACATTCATATCCACACCTACGCCTACACCCACACACCCCACACTCACACCCACACCCACACCCAGTAATGGTTTCAATATTTTTTCTTTCAACGTTTTTATTTCTACCAAATTTATACATATCGAAATTTCTATTCAATAGTTCTTAGACAATTATGTTTTATTAACACATATGCATAAAAATTTGTTTACATTTCAAGGATGTTCATTTGTCTGTTGCCAAAAACATGTAACGTAAAGAAAATCAGACATATAAACTGACACATACAATAAAATAGTAAGAAGCATTGGGTTAATTTATCCAATTTTTAAAACTTTATTTTGTGCTTATTTTGGACAGAGTGAGCTTCTAATATGCCTGGAAAGTTATAACCTTTAGACTGGGCTGCTATTTCGGTTGGGCTTCTATTATGCGGTGAGCTTCTATTCTGTGGGCGGTAGCAAATTCAAACCCTGTACTTCTATTCTTGATGTTGCAAATGTGCGTAGTATAATCAATTACTCAAATAATTAAGTTTTTCTTTTGTAAGCACTTCCGAGTGTAACAAATAAAGAGCCAATAAAAAACATACAGAAAGAAACATGACATGTATCAATACTGTTGGTTGGAATATGCCAACTGCGTTGTTGATTATTTTCTGTCGAGTACTATATATAACTCAATACAAATTTTTATGTAACGATAACGTATATAGCAGTTGTACGAATCAGCTCATACTTCATCTTTTTTATCATCTAAAATCTTTATCCATTTAGTGCAAAATGACTTTTGCATCAGCAATTCTACTACTTGCTGCCATGTATTTATGTGCTGTTCAAAATGTTACTCCAATTTTATGCAATAGAGGACAACGACCTTGTGGTACATCACTTTGCTATGATCCAAGCACGCATGTGTGTATTCAAGATGGTGGGCCAACTGGAGCTGTCTGGTATACAGTTTGTCCAAAAGGACAGAAAACGTGCTCTGGTGGCCGCTGTTATGATCCAAA